TAGGGGTCCTCCACGTAATTACCAGCAGAATTACCAGAATAGTGAGAGTGGGGAGAAGAACGAGGGATCGGAGAGTGCTCCCAAAGGCCAGGCCCAACAACGCCCGCCCTACCGCAGGCGACGGTTCCCACCTTACTACATGCGGAGACCCTATGGGCATCGACCACAGTATTCCAACCCTCCTGTACAGGGAGAAGTGATGGAGGGTGCTGACAACCAGGGTGCAGGAAAACAAGGTAGACCAGTGAGGCAGAATATGTATTGGGGTTTTAGACCACGATTTCGCAGGGGCCCTCCTCGCCAATGACAGCCTAGAGAGGACGGCAATGAAGAAGATAAGGAAAATAAAGATGAGACCCAAGGTCAGCAGCCACCTCAACGTCGCAACTTCAATTACCGACGCAGACGCCCAGAAAACCCTAAACCACAAGATGGCAAATAGACAAAAGCAGCTGATCCACCAGCTTAGAGTTCGCCCGCTCCGGAGGCTGAGCAGGGCGGGGCTGAGTAAATGCCAGCTTACCATCTCTACCATCATCCAGTTTAGTCATCCAACAAGAAGAAATGAATATGAAATTCCAGCAATAAGAAATGAACAAAAGACTGGAGCTGAGGACCTTAAGTGCTTGCTTTTTGCCTGTTGACCAGATAACTAGAACTATCTGCATTATCTATGCAGCATGGGGTTTTTATTATTTTTGCCTAAAGATGTCTCTTTTTGGTAATGACAAACGTGTTTTTTAAAAAGCCTAGTTTTTCTCAATACACCTTTAAAGGTTTTAAAATTGTTTCATATCTGGTCAAGTTGAGATTTTTAAGAACCTCATTTTTAATTTGTAATAAAAGTTTACAACTTGATTTTTTCAAAAAAAGTCAACAAAACTGCAAGCACCTGTTAATAAAGGTTTCAAATAATAAAAAAAAATCATCATCATCATCATCATCACCACTGGACTATGCCCACCATTATACTGTCTTTTCCAGTCCCTTCTGGATCTAACTCATCATTTCCTTTACCCACTCCCTCCACCCATCAAACTATGCAACCCTGTGACTTCATCCCTACATATCCTCACCCTACTGCTCCCACCCCCTTGGATCCCCATACATATTTTTTACAATTAAAAGGGTAAAAAAGTCAATGGCCATTGATGTTACATAAAACAAAATATCTAAGAATGGTTATAGGAAAACCAAATATGGTATGTGGGCTTCTACGAAAAAATATTTTTAATGTTAATTTATCTATAGTAATACTATATTTTCCTTTTACATCATATTAATAAAATCACCAGCAGCTCCTCAAAAGGAAGCACACATCTCCTCCCATACAATTTACAGCCTCAGAAACTTACTGGAGGATCAATGCTACCTCCACAGAAACAACAGATAAATAGAAAAAGAGATTTCCAACATTTGCTTGATCATTTATTTGCATCTAGGATCTACTAGGAATAATTAGTTTGGTAGATGTGGTTTCTCCTAAAACAATGAGCCAAAATGAAAACTTCTGATCTTGGATTGACACAGGTAGGCATCAT